GGCCGGCGAGGGGGTGGGGAGCTGAGAGGAGAAGGTGGGCAGGGGTTGGGGGCTGAGGTGGAGGCAGAGTCGCAAGCTAGTGGACAAAGAGAAAGAAAGTTTGTGGCTGCAAAGCTCAGCCGCGTGTGGCTGGTTCGCGGCTCCTTTTCGGGTCCCCGTCCAACACCCCGGACGCCGCGCGAGCGCTACCTTTCAGTCCCCCCGGGGCCAGGGAGAGTCCCCCGGGAGGAAGGTCGGGCAGAGGCGGCCACGGGACAGTCTCCACTGAAGGCCGCCCGGGGCGTCCTGCGCGGGGTCCCGCAGATCGCCGGCTGGGGCCGGAGGCGACCTCCGGACATTCCGGGCCTCCCAGCCAGCTCAGAGGGAGACTCTGGGGAGGCTCGGGGGAGGAGGGACGCATTAGGGACTCCCGGCCTGAGGGCGCTCCCGGAGAACCCTGTTGTAGACTCCGGCGAGGCGCAGCGCCGGGGGCGGGCCCCATGCTCCAGCGGCCGTCGCGCACCAGCCCTTCAGGGGCGATCGCGGCTCGCTCAGGGCCAGACTGACTCGGTATCCCGGGATGGGGTCCCCGGGGAGGAAAGGGCTCCCCGGAGGCTGGAGGCCCCGCTGGCCCGCCAGGTGGCAGGCCCGGTCCGAGCGCGCCGGAGCCGCGGTGCTAACGCTGTCGCCTCCCCCCGGGGCTCTGTCCGCAGGGCTACTCGTCGGTGAGCAGCATGAACGCCGCCGGCCTGGGGATGAACGGCATGAACACGTACATGAGCATGTCGGCGGCCGCCATGGGCAGCGGCTCCGGCAACATGAGCGCGGGCTCCATGAACATGTCGTCGTACGTGGGCGCGGGCATGAGCCCGTCGCTGGCGGGCATGTCCCCCGGCGCGGGCGCCATGGCGGGCATGGGCGGCGCGGCCGGCGCGGCCGGCGAGGCAGGCATGGGGCCGCACCTGAGCCCCAGCCTGAGCCCGCTCGGGGGGCAGGCGGCCGGGGCCATGGGCGGCCTGGCGCCCTACGCCAACATGAACTCCATGAGCCCCATGTACGGGCAGGCGGGCCTGAGCCGCGCGCGCGACCCTAAGACCTACCGGCGCAGCTACACGCACGCCAAGCCGCCCTACTCGTACATTTCCCTCATCACCATGGCCATCCAGCAGAGCCCCAACAAGATGCTCACGCTCAGCGAGATCTACCAGTGGATCATGGACCTCTTCCCCTTCTACCGGCAGAACCAGCAGCGCTGGCAGAACTCCATCCGCCACTCGCTGTCGTTCAACGACTGCTTCCTCAAGGTGCCGCGCTCGCCCGACAAGCCGGGCAAGGGCTCCTTCTGGACCCTGCACCCCGACTCGGGCAACATGTTCGAGAACGGTTGCTACCTGCGCCGTCAGAAGCGCTTCAAGTGCGAGAAGCAGCTGGCGCTCAAGGAGGCCGCGGGCGGCGGCAAGAAGGCGGCCGCCGGGGTGCAGGCCGCGCAGGCCCAGCTCGGGGAGGCCGCCGGGCCGGCCTCCGAGACTGCGGCGGGCGCCGAGTCGCCCCACTCGAGCGCCTCCCCGTGCCAGGAGCACAAGCGGGGCGTCCTGGGCGAGCTGAAGGGCGCGCCTGCCGCGGCGCTGAGCCCCCCGGAACCTGCGCCTTCGCCGGGGCAGCCGCCGCAGGCCGCGGCCCACCTGCTGGGCCCGCCGCACCACCCGGGCCTGCCGCCCGAGGCTCATCTGAAGCCGGAGCACCACTACGCCTTCAACCACCCCTTCTCCATCAACAACCTCATGTCTTCGGAGCAGCAGCACCACCACAGCCACCACCACCACCAGCCGCACAAAATGGACCTCAAGGCCTACGAACAGGTGATGCACTACCCCGGGTACGGCTCGCCCATGCCCGGCAGCCTGGCCATGGGCCCGGTCACGAACAAAACGGGCCTGGACGCCTCGCCCCTGGCCGCAGACTCCTCCTACTATCAGGGGGTGTACTCCCGACCCATTATGAACTCCTCCTAAGAAACCGGCTTCGGACCGGGCTGGCTCTGGCAGCGCGGGAGGAGGACGCGGGAGGAGGACGCGAGCGCCGCGGGGGAAGCGGGCCGAGACTTTGGGGAGCGGAGCCTGACGGCCGCAAGGGGATCTCGCGCCGCCGCGCGACAGCAGTCTGCCTGGCGCTCTGCAAGGCTTCCCTCCCAGACTGACGGACCACGCTGACACCTACCATTCTCTATGAGGAGGAAGAGTGGGAAAATATAAAGTTAAAAAAAAAAGCCTTCAGTTTCCACGACTGTGTAGACTCCTGCTTCTTTAAGCACCTGCCCATTCTGATTTTTTTGTTGTTGGTGTTCTCTGTTGCTGTTGTTGCAGGGAAGTCTTACTTAAAAAAAAAAAGAAAAAGAAACAAAAAAAAACTTTGTGAGTGACTCGGTGTAAAACCATGTAGTTTTAACAGAACCAGAGGGTTGTACTATTGTTTAAAAAGAGACAAATAATAATAATGTAAGGGTCTGTTGTAAGTGACCAAGAAAAAGAAAAAAAAAAGCATTCCCAATCTTGACACAGTGAAATTCAGGTCTCGGGTCTGATTAATTTATGGTTTCTGCGTGCTTTATTTATGGCTTCTAAATGTGTATTCTGGTCACACGGGCCAGAGTTCCACAATCTATATTAAAGTGTTATTGCCGGTTTTAGCCTTTGAATCTTTTCTTCAGGATTTTTTCCCCCTTTGTCTGATTTAAAAAATAAACAGTACTGGAAATTATTTCAAGGAGGAGGGAGGGATGGTCTGGCTGATGTGCACGTTTTTTGTTTTATTTGGGGGAAGGGGACATTGCTGTTTTTCTAACATTTTATTATCACAATTTTCAGAAATACAGAATTGAGTGAATTCTACCCACTATCAGGATTCAACAGTGAACAACTCACTAGACTTGCTTGATCACAGGTGTTCACATGTCCACACCTCCACGGGGGAATTCATCCTGTTTCTCTAAATGCACCTCACAGTAATCTGCAGACACCAGCGCACTCCCCCTAACCACTTCAGCAAGCACATCCTTCTATACAAATCCACTTTCTTTACGGTTACTTTTGGAATTTTGAGGTAAATATCACACAGAGTGTACCATGCTGATCCCAGGTGGATCATTCCAGCAGGTTAGCTTTTAAGGCCAGGAGGAAATCGTTCTCCACATACCTTGGTTTTCCACTCGGATTGTCTGAAGGTGCCCTGGAGTTGAGGTCTCTTGAGCCCCAAAGCTGGCTTCTCTGGAGGAAGCCTGGACTTGACAGTTCTCACTGTACTCCAGACCTTAGGCCTCCCTTCCCAGTGAGCCTAGATTGGACTTGCAAATTCCTGATGCAACATGTTTGCCATGTCACCACAGCCTCTCTGGTCCCTCTTAGCTGCCTGTGGAACTGGAACTCTGCCTGGATCCTCTAGCCTCCTGCCTCCAAGTACAACGCCCTACCCTGTCCCACCTTCTTCCCTACTAGGGTAGGTCTTAGGCACAACCAAGACAGACCTTGCCACCCCAGGAGTGGCAAGGCACCTCGTCTGGGAAAACATTTGGAAGGCATTCTCCTGAAACTGGTTTCAAAAGGATAGCACAAGATGACAATCCAAGTCTCCCTTTAAAAAAAAAAAGGTACATTTGGGAGTGAGAAGGAGGTAGGGGGTGTCTGGAGTGACTCAGCAATGGCCCACGACAGTGGTGAGACCCCACTGTTGGCAGATTTGTCCCTTCCTCTCTCTCCCCAAAACCCCAAGGCCTGAGCAAAGCCTCTTGCTCACCCAGGGCATAAAGTCAGTCACCCAAAGTCTGCGGGGCCCAGGGTCCGAGTGGATATATTGTGAGCCTTCAAGAAACTCCAAAAGTATGCAGAAAAACCCTGAATAAATTCTTACACCGCCGGGCTCGGTGGCTCAGCCTGTAATCCCGCACCTTTGGGAGGCTGAGGTTAGTGGATTGCCTGAGCCCACGGGTTCGAGATCCGCCTGGGCAGGTGAGACCTCATCTCTACAATAAATTAAAATAAAAATTAGCCGGGCGTGATAGCGCGCCTGTAGTTCCAGCTCCTTGGAAGGCTGAGGCAGAAGGATCGCCGGAGCCCAGCAGGTCGAGGTTGCGGTTGCCGGAAGCGGCCACTGCACTCCAGTCTGGGCAACAGAGTGAGACTCCAACTCAAAAAAAAAAAAAAATTCTTACACCTCATGTTACTCTCCCACAGACCACCTCGCAGCCCTACATGGGAGGTCAAAGACTGTGGAAGCCCAGTCCAAGAGACCAAATGGGTGCCTGGCGCTGGTTTTGCTGGGGTCGTCTTCTGGCCTCTACTGTGAGTGCAAGGGTGGGCACCAGCGTCGTCGCGGGCATGTCAGACTCGGGGCGGCTCCCTGCCGAGCACAGTTAGCTGCCTGTGGGTGAACTCACTCTGCAGGCCTTAGCCCGGCTCCTGTTTCCTAGATTAGATCTTTGAGGCTTCTTGACCATCCAAACCCAGAGCGCTCCAGCCCCGGAGACCGCCTCTTTGCGCGCCCTCTGCCACCAAGCCGGAGTCTCTGCGCCTTTCCGCCCCCCCCACCCCTAGGCCTTCCCACGCGCTTGAGGGGGGTTTGCGCCTCGCCTCCGCCCCCCTCATCCCCACCCCGCTACAAATCCCTTTCTTAACATGCCACATTGTCCCGAAGAACACAAGGAAGAGAAATTAAGGGAGGGGGATCCGGAGGCCACAGCCGGCAATCAGGCCGTCTCTCCCCCGGGCGAGGACACACACGTCGTGAGCCCGGCCTGAAATGTGTTTCATTATCACATAAAAGGCTCCCGTGGCGAAGGAGCCCAGAGGCAGGGCCGGGGGCCGAGTGGGGGACAATGGGACTGAACGCGCTGCCCTAACCTGCTATGTTCCATATCGCACGCCCATTGTGCGAGGGTCGTTTTAAACTACTTAGCGCGCCCCCCTCCGCTGATCCCGGCCGATAAGATATAGTCCGGTCCCAGGACATGAAAAGGGCGTCGGAGCGGGCGTCCTCCAGGCTTTCCCGGCTTCTTCACACCCCCTTCCCCGACCCCCTCCCCGCTGGGCTCCGCGCTCGCGCGCCACCCTCCGCCCGCTCTCCCCAGCTCTGCGCGTTGAGGGGTGCGGCGTACCCCCCTTTTTCTCCTTTTCCCCCTCGCTTTCCGCGCGCCGGTTTAAGCAACCGTGATCTGTGAATAAACAAAGTCAGTAAACAACCGAAAAAAACATTCTCGATCCGAATTCCAGGAGGGTAAACTTTCAGTGCCACGTCACACTTCAGCAAATTTGCACAGATATTATATTGCTCCCCTCCTTTATTATTCTTTTTTCTTTTTTTTTTTTTTGCCAGGATCCCATTGTACTTAACTGAATTTTATAACGCTGATCGATATCTTGGTAAAATATTCATTTTTAAACTAGCGGGCAGTGAAATCTTTGCTTTGTGTGCTAAAGTCAACAGTCGCTCGGTTTGAGCTCAAATAAATGCGGGGATCCGCGGCTGGGCGCAGTCGGTCGCCTCCCTCTGCGCGCTGGACGCTCCGCCGCCACCGCCGCCGCCGCCGCCGCCGCCGCAGGTAGGGAGCGCGCCCCCCGGGGGCCGCGCCGACTCCCTCCGCGGTGTCCGCCCCCCACTCGCGGCCACATGTCTCCCCTCCCCCACCTCCCCTTTCCCTCCGGGGGGCTCCGACGGTTGGCTGGGGGGGGGGGCGGTGAGAGCCTCAGCCAGCGCAGACCCCAGGACTTGTGCTTCTCTGCGAGGGCTTCGGGGCGTGCGCGTTGTGTAGGAATGAGGGGTCGTGGAGTTGCAAGCTCATGCTGAGGTCCAGACTCTGACATAACTCGTGGGGCTCGGTGAGGCCCGGAGGAAGCCGCTACGGCCCCTGGAGCCGCTCCTAGCGATCGAATCGCTGGGGATTCGATCCGGGGACAGTGGAGAGGGTGGGGAATGCCCTTGGCATAAGAGTCCGGAGTGGACGTCTGCGGGAAATCGTGTGCGTGGCGCGGGGGAGTCCGGAAAGGCTCAGGCCCGAACATGGTGCCGCCTTCCCCATGGGCGCCCGCGCTCCAGTTCAGTCTCAACCCTTGCTCAGGGTTGGCACTCGGCGGGAACAGGGGAGGACAGAGCCTTTCCAGGAAGCGAGTGACCCTCGGTTTTCGCTGCGGGGAGCGGCTGGTGGCCTTTACGCATAGGTGTGCGCGGCGGCCGCAGGCAGGTGGGGAGCCTGGGGAGTGGGAGGTTCCTGGAGAGAAAGTCCGAAGCCAAAATGGGCCACTTATTACCCCATTCTCCCTGTGGCCCCGTCGCCAGCTTTTCCCAGGAGCCCCCTCCCGCGGCGGCTCGGGGCCGGAGAGCGCTGTGCTGCTCTGCAGGACCTGAGACCCGAGTTTGGAGGGTGGAACAGAACAAGTCGAGTCTTCCCGTCGCCTGCGGGGAGTTCCACCCCTGCGAGTTGAAAACCGCCAGGCCCCGGCTTTCGAGGGCGGGATCGGAACAGGGGGCTTTCCCCAGGTGTCTACCGAGTCTCCCCGCCAAGATCCGCACTCTCCTTGGGGTCTTTGCTATAAACGCCTGAGTGTCAAGCGCTGTGAAGGCCCGTGCCCGCGCAGTTACTTTGGGTCTTTCGCCGGGATTCCAGACGCGCCGGGTAACGGGCCCACGGAAATTGACGGCCCCTTGCAGCTAGAAAGCTCTCACCTCCTGCCCCGCGGTCACCAGACCTCACACCCGAGTGGGCAGAAATCGGTTTCGCGCTTCGGCAGGGTCAGTGATCTGTGGTCGTCTCCACGCGCGGGGACCCAGGATGGCCCTTGCCCTCCTTCCCGACGCCCGGGGCTGTGCGGCAGTGTCCCCCGCGCCAGAAGCCCGTGGGAAGTGCGCCCGCCGGCCTTCGACCCCCGGCTCCGCCGCGCGCGGCTGGTTATCTTCCCTGAACAAGACACAACGCTGGCGGGACACATCGCACGCCTAATCGTTTCTAAATAATTAATGGCTCCCCGTTCCGCTGGTAATGCGCGGCCTCGGATCCGTCAATTACTTGTCATTAGACGCGTGTCGCCCTACGGCCTTCCCTCGGGCCTCCCGTAGCGCCCGGTCACCTAGCCCAGCCCACTCCACGGCCGAATTAAAAGGTGCCCGGTGTTTGAGAGCCGGTGCGGGATAGCCGCGGCTCTTAATTCAGTCTGAGTTTTGAAAGAAAGACCCTCGCTGAAGAGATGTAATCTTCCAAATGGCCAATTTAAACGTCTGATCTTATCGGCCGCCTTCTTATCCGCCGCCTTCTCCCGCTCTCTAAAGAGAAGCCGGTCCTTGGTGCTTTGGGGGACTTTTAATGTAGGAGTGGGGCAGGGAGAAGCGAGAGATGAGGCTTATTAGGGCACGAGGGAGGCGTCGGTTGGGAGATGCCTGCAGGTACTGGGGGCACCTGGTTTCCTTAGCGGCAGGGCATCATTCTAAGCATCCCGGCTTGTGGGGGGAGGGATAGCTGAGCGGAGATTTTCTGGAATGCGTAG